CTTCATTGTGGACTTGAAAGAGGATAATTCAATCATTTATACCGGTAGGTCAAGTGTTGGAGGAAGATTGGGTGACGAACCCAAAGAACGTCTGCGTAGGAGGCTAAAGACTTTGAAGAAGGGAAACAATCTGTCACTAGTGTAGATGTACCGCACTCAAGCATTTGTCACGCAAGGCTGAAATTATTTCAATTTTGTTCCTTTTATTACGTTTAATTTTCTCCTGATCTCCATCATGGAAGCATTAGCAGATGTAGCCTCCTGCGCAGACGTTTTTTAGGCATCGTCACGCAATCATTCGTCCCGCACGAACCTCTACTTCAACCCGAAGCCACTTCCGTTCAGGCGAACGTGGTGAGGAATGATTGCGTGACGATTCCTAAGAACTTCTGCGCAGGAGGCTAGAGCAGAAGGTGCTAATAGGGTTAACAGTTAACAGACAATTGGCCCAAAAAAATAGCAGTGAACTGATATTTGGCCCAAAAATTGGTAACTGATAAATTAAAAGTTAACGGTTAAGCGACATTCTATCATTATACTGAATATGATTGTTTTTGTTAATAAAAGCAACAAAGTCTTTTTCTTAGCAGCGAAGCTATTTCGTGACATTTATTTGTTTCACTGCGTGACCCAGAGACATATCTTCTGAATAAGGCGAATTACCTGTCATTCTGCGTGACCCAGTGACATCGTTCCTTGATCTCGGTCAAAGTTATTTGAGAGATGATGACCAAGGATCGGCATTCGAACGACAGAGAGGTCGCGTACCATTTGACATGAATTAGCACAATACAATGAGGAAAGCTTGCAGACATTTAATCGACTTTATGCGAATTAAAGAACAAGTGGAAAAGTTTGGACTCGGCGCGTTTGATTTAAAGCTTTTCAGATTAGGAAAGATCGAAGGAAAGGCTGCAAATTTTGCAATTGTAATAAAGGCTCAGCTGGAAATGGAGCTACCCTGTTTGCTGGGAAGTGCAACGAGTGAGCTAAATGGTATGTATTTGCTTCGTCCTTTTGTTCAAAATCTTTTCGAGCAAGCGAGCGCGGTTTGACAACACCAGTCCAAGTAAGATTTCTGATTACAGTAAAACCCGTTTTAAGCGGTCCCCATAGTAACTGGACACATGCGCGCATCAGTAGGTCTCAATTTCTTCCTTCTTATACTCTCTCTGCATAAACCTGTATCAAGCGGACATCTCAATGATTTTTAACACGCTTTTGGAAGCCATGGAATGTTTGTGTAAGAATCTAAGGAGGGACGGACCATTAGAAATAACCGGAGGGAGGGGAGGAAAAAATTTCCCGCGCACGATTTTTTTCAAGGCACACGGCTGCAGGGTTTTTTTTTTTTTTTTCTTCCGTTGCAGGAACAAAATTTAGGCATAACCGTTTGCAGGATTCATTTAGACAAGTTTCTCTTGCAGGAGTTTTTTTTGGAGAAAAGTGACTCCCCCCCGCCCCGCACCCTCCGGTTATTTCTAACGGTACGTCACCCGCAGGTGAGACCATTAAGTTTTACAGACCTGTTATCCCGCTCCCTTGAACACAGTAGAGATGGGAAGGCCTCATGGGAAAAAACGCGAAACCCAGTATCTCCTTCAAGTCATTTTGTTTATTTTCTTTTTTTTTTTTGTGTTCAAATTCAATAACATTCGTTACATGTTAGATGCGCCCAATTGATAAAAAAAAATTGTTTCAGGCGCCCGGCGAAAAACCCTTTCACACGACTCTCCTTCCACATAGTTTTGAAAAGAAAATTGGCACGCACTCGTCGAAACTCTCAAAAATTGCAGCCGAATTCGACGAGAACTTCGCAGTTAATCGCAGAGGATGTTTTTAGTCGAGGCATTTGTTTGTTGACGGCCCATTCTGGTCAAAATTGATTTATCTATTTTTGTAACTAGAAAAATTCATCATGCAAATATAAAAATCTAATTTGGACTAGTTCTAATTATATTTTTATTTCATAGTTGATATTTTTTACACCGCTTGTTAGTAATTTCCTCGGTCCGTGATGAAAGAATCGGGCCTCTCAGTTTTCTCTCAAATTTTAGATGCAAGGGCATGGATCTCAGTTGCATGCAGTCAGGTCAATAGCAGTTGTTTCAGCGAAGCTCGCAGAGCGTAGCTCCACAATGATACAAAATGGTAGTAGTAACCCATCAAGCAGAAAAAAAATAGGCTTATGACCGTACGGGCGTCCGTACAAGGTGCTACTTTTCGCATGCGCGGTCAACTATACCGCGGACACGCCAACGCCACAGCTTTGTCCAGTGGCCCAGTGGTCAGTGCACTGGGCTTCGAGTCGGACGACCTGGGTTCTAGTCCTGGCCGGGGTAAGGCGTTGTGCCCTTGAGACGTGCGGGAATAAAAAAAATGCGAGCTCAGCTTTTAGGCTTGGCTAAATCTATATATTATTAGAAACACTTCATTTTGTAAAAAATTATGACCACTTTCACAGTTTTCATCTAGAAGCTGCACAAATCGCCAAATCTATGACAGCAAAAGGCAAAGCAGAATTGCTCACTTGAGATTATTAAGAAATAATGACATGGTTGAAAAAGGCAGCATTAAAAGTTGGCGTCCTGAATTTGATATTTGGTTAAAATATTTAATCAACTTGCCTATTCTTAATGACAGTCAACGGGAAAAAAAAAGAAGTAAAACTCAAAGGAAAGTTGAAAAAATTAGAAAAAATAAATAAATAAAATCAACTAAACAGCAGAAAAGAAAAATAACATAATAAACGAAAAAATAATTAATTTAAAAATGACAATCTGCAATCATTTGCTTCATAGAAAGAAATTTCCCTGGGAAAAATTTTTCACATTCTCACTGAAATCCACAAAAAATTGGAAAATATAATAAGCTTAATAAAGTAGCATGGCAAAATTGATGGAAGCCATTCTTGCATTCAATGGTTGAAAAATTCATCCATTTATTCAGTCACCAGAGTAACCGTTAACTTCTAATCTTGTTTCTCCAGTATGTACAAAGAGCATTATGGGTAGGCAGAGCAGTAGCCCCAGCTAGTGCTATGCCGCAACTGTCAGCCATACTTGTCACACCCATTGAGAACTCCCTATGCTTCGGTGGAACCTGGGTAAGGAAATGAAACCTTATTAGCCTCAGTATGATTATGCCATGCAACTCGATACCAAAAACACCAACATTTATTAATACAAATTCGAAATGGTGAACTTGACGGTCTTTTAGACTTTTCAGTTTCAGAGAAAACCTGTCTAAAATCCGCGACAATGCACTGAAGAGATTACAGCCTCCAAGGGGCATCTACAAACACTGCTTCTCCGTGAAATTTGCGCACTCGCTTCGACCTTATATGAAATTCTACCGCGAAAAATTACTGTTGGTGTTCTTTCAACGTTTCTTAAATTTATTCGGCAGAAGTGCATCTTACAAATTTCTCGGGACTCTCTTAAGGGTTTCCACCCCCTTTTTTACCTTGGTTGCACGCAGGGCCATAAACGATATGATTAGACTTGAAGTTATCTGGTTACGTTTAGCGCATTTTCATACCAGTGCATTTAAACTCAAGTGATCTATTTCAATATCAGAGTTTGTGAAGCAGCGGATACACACAACCATTGAGTGTGAAAGAACAACCATTGAGTGTGAAAGAACAACCATTGAGTGTGAAAGAACAACCATTTCGCTTTGTTTTGTTTTGAGCATGATGAAGTGAGTTTACCTCTTGTGAAATCCTATAAAACGCATTGACGTAACAAGCACCTCCGAGAAGCCCTTCGTATAGGACAATCAAGAACATGATCCACACTGATGGCAGGAAGTGGAAATACGCTTCGCACAGGAGTATAACAAGATTTACATTCTGCAAAACAAGAGATGGATGAGTTTTGTCTTAAGTCTCATTACTACGTTTAAGGGAGCCTATACTTTATAAGCCCCCGGCTTCTAATAGGCTTCCTTGTTGTTACCTCTTCAGTTCCTTTGATTTTGAGGTTAATTTAGTTAGAACAGTTCTTTTTATCTTTGATGTATCATAAATCTTGTATTCGGTTAATTTTTTCTGGAATTTGCAAATTGAATGAATGAATGAATGAATGAATGAATGAATGAAATGAATGAATGAATTAATGAAACGAAATGAATGAATGAACGGAATGAATGAATGAAATGAAATGAATGAATGAACGGAATGAATGAATGAATGAATGAATGGAATGAATGAATGAATGAATGAATGAATGAACGAATGAATGAAATGAATGAAATGAATGAATGAAAGTATGAAATGAATGAATGAATGGAATGAATGAAATGAATGAATGAATGAATGAATGAAAGAACGTTGACCGATCCTTTCTTCTGCCTCGGTAACACAAAATAATGATATGAAAACTGCATATAAGTAAAAAGGCAGACAAACAGACTACTGACTGATTGAATGACCGACCGACCGACCGACCGACCGACCAATCCAACAAAGATGCTCACCTGTAGAACGGCCAATATCCATATCTTTTTGATAGGGAAGATATTAACAGATGAACGTGATATAAAGACGCCAATTTGGTAGTCAACTTGATACCTTTGCAAAAGAGATAAGAGAATTTACAGTTATTCTCCTTGGCTAACCCAAAAGAAAACAAAAAAAGAGCAGTCGTAGGTCGTGCTATACCCAGAATGCCGACTACATAATTTTCAGAAAGCTTTCTCATCACATCAACGTTTAATCTTCCTTAAAAAAAAAAAAAGAACTAAAATTGAAAACAAGCCAATTCTCATCCTTGGAAGCATAACATTCCGTACAAGCTTTGTAACCAATCCAGACTAAACATTGCCTGAAGCATAAAACCACATTGTTACAGAGAGAATTGAAAGTTTACAAGAAAAACCGGCCAGTACATGATACAAGATCTTCAAAACTGTTATTGGTGTAAAGCAATTGACTATAGTGCCACCACCCCTCCCCGAGAGGAAAACTAGTTCATGGCAAGTAAACGGGATCTGTGAGTGTTATGTCCCAAGCCCAAGAACACTGCACCGGAAATGAAGCTAATTAGAACTAAAACTCGGACTTCTCGACTTTTCTCCCATATCGACGACGTTTCTGTGGTAGATGTATTTTATCAATCAACATCTGACACTGACTCACCATCTGTACTGCTCTGAAGGTGTTAACCAAATCCTATTCCAGTATATTAATTCATGCTGCAGAAAATGAAAACGTGAAAACTTTGCAGTGCAGCACTTTTCCTTAACAAGCTGACTAAGTTGAATGAATGAATGAATGACACCTTTATTTCAAATAAATAGAAATCCCAACATCAGGGTAGTCCCATCAGAACGTAAAGCTCTGCTATCAATAGGAACCCTGGTGAATAGGATCCAATCCAAGTTAGACATCATCTCCAAAAATGCGTTTTACAATTCTTTCTATTATGGAGCAGACCCACCAAGAAACGTCTCTGATGCCTTTAGAAGTTCAAAGGTCATTATCTTTAGTCTAATCAAAGATTTAATTTTTTTTGTATTTACCTGTAGGAGGCAGCTGCAATAATGATGGACAGCATGAAACAAAATCTCATCTTTAGTTTTGAGCAACAAAGTTCGAAAGGCGCATGTAGCTTTCCTGGACACAGCAACAGTGAATTACGGTCTTTTCGTCCAGAAGTCTTTTCGTCCAAGTCTTTTCGTCCAAAAGTATTTTCACTAAGTCTGTTCGTTTACTTGTTAAGTCTTTTCTCGAAGCAAATAAATAACTTTTAGAAGGCTAGATAAGGCTATAGAAAGAACTTGTTGCGAGCCATTCACGTAGTGATGTTACACTTCGTTGCCCTTTTACGCTCAATAGACGCTTAACAACAAGCCTAATATTCCCATTTCTTTCGCGTGAAATAATTAAACGGCAAGCAAGTCTTTACTTTTGCCACTATTTAATAAAGTATATTGCGTTACAACTTCATTCTAAC